ACAGTATGGTGTCAACTGAGAATGTCTCCGAAGATCCCCGCGAGCGCCCGCGTAGAGGCCCACGGCAGCTGCGAGAGTGACCCAGGGCGGCCCATGAGCAAGCATCAAGGAGTGGAAAGCGTCAAGATGGCCTCGAGCCGGTCCTCAAATGTACCTGGTACAGCAACGATGCCACAAGATAGTCCCAGGTTGTCCAAGAGCGGGCATCAAGGAAAGGCAGGCCCAAGGCTGGTCCCGAAATAGCCCAACGATGCTCTCAAGATAGCCCCAAGAGACCCCGATATAGCCCAGAGGTGGCACGCACCAGCCCCAAGATGCTCCCAAGACAGCGCCAAGAGGCCGCGACATAGCCCCGAGATGGTACAAGATGCCCACAGTTCCCAAGAATCCGACATCATTGAACCACATGGACGTCTTCCTATGTGCTTTTCATTGTCGTTTCCGCCGCCTCCCATGGTATTCTGTCGCCTCAAGGTGACTCCAAGATCGCCCAAGAAGGCTCCCTGTGGGGCCAGGAAGGCTCGAAACGGCCCCGAAGAGTTCCAACTCGCCCCAAGTTGAGGCGCTTCCGTTGAGGGAAAGACGGTGGGAGTGTGGAACGTCGCACTGCACCTGGCCTGCCACTGCTGCCCTTCCACGCGAAACTCTTGCGACAGCTGAAGAACCCTACCACCACCTAGCACCCCGTCAGCGCCCATGAGCCTACAGGCAAATGCCACCAATGATGCACAATCATTGTGCATCATTGTGCATCACTGGTGTGCATCACTGTTATTCCCAACCATCCTGTGGTGTTGGGTCCTCGTTTTGAAGAGACGGTGCCCCGCATTGCTCCTCCTCCTCCTCCTCCTCCTCCTCCTCCTCCTCCTCCTCCTCCTCCTCCTCCTCCTCCTCCCTCCTCCCACCATCATCATCGTCATCATCCTCCATTTCGGCACACCCCTCACATGTTTCGTGGCCCCATAGGGAGCCCCACCGAAGGCCCCAGTGCTGCCGCCCGCATGCGTCCCGCACACCCAATTCGGCACACCACTCACACGTTCCGTGGCCCCATAGGGAGCCCCCCCGAAGGGCCCAGTGCTGCCGCCCGCATGCGTCCCGCACACTCAATTCGGCACACCCCTCACACGTTTCGTGGCCCCATAGGGAGCCCCACCGAAGGCCCCAGTGCTGCCGCCCGCATGCGTCCCGCACACCCAATTCGGCACACCCCTCACACGTTCCGTGGCCACATAGGGAGCCCCACCGAAGGCCCCAATGCTGCCGCCCGCATGCGTCCCGCACACCCAATTGGGCACACCCCTCACACGTTTCGTGGCCCCATAGGGAGCCCCACCGAAGGCCCCAGTGCTGCCGCCCGCATGCGTCCCCGCCACCCATCCCGGCACGCCCCTCACAACAACAGGTTTCGTGGCCCCGTAGGGAGCTCCACCGAAGGCCCCAGTGGCACCGCCCGCATGCGTCACCACCCGCACCCAATTCGGCACACCTCTCACACGTTTCGTGGCCCCATAGGGAGCTGCACCGAAGGCCCCAGTGGCGGCGCTCACATGCGTCCCCGCCACACATCCCAGTACACCCCTCACGCGCTCCGTGGCCCCATAGGGAGCTCCACCGAAGGCCCCAGTAGCGGCGCTTACATGCGTCTCCGCCACCCATCCCGAACCCCCCCCCCGCAGCAGCATCATGCTTCGGGGACCCATAGGGAGCTCCGCTGGAGGCCCCAGTGGCGGCCCTCACATGCGTTTCCGCCACCCATGTCGGCACGCCCCGCGCGTGTTTCATGTCCCCATAGGGAGCTTCGCCGAATGCCCCAATGGCACCCATCTCGGCACACCCCTCACACGTTCCGTAGTCCTATGGGGAGTTCCACTGAAGATGAAACCCGCAGCTGCGGTACTGACATCTGCATATGGTTGGGTTCTTCGCCAGGCTAATTTGTTGGGCGTCCGGTGGGTTCTTCGTCGCAACGGCTGGATTCCCTTCGAAAGTTTGGTCCGAACGCAAAGGGATAGGTTTGAAGGCCGATTTCCGAGGGAGGAAGCGGAGGAGGAGGAGGAGGAGGAGGAGGAGGAGAAGGGAAGAGGAGGAGGAGGAGGAGGAGGAGGAGGAGGAGGAGGAGGAGGGACGGGGGAGGAAGTGCGAACTCACGTTGCTTCACGTTCCCGTCGTCGATGTCTGAGTTGGTGCAGGAAGCATCGGAAGCGTCTTTCAAACTTGGAGCGTGTTTCAAAATTGAAGCGTGTTTTAAACTTGAAGCGCGTTTGAGAATTCGAGCGAGTTGTAAAATAGGAGCGTGTTCCAAAATTAGAGCTCGTTGCAAAATTGAAGTGTGTTTCAACATTCAAACGTATTTAAAACTTGGAGCGTGTTTCAAATGGGAGCGTGTTTCAAAATTGGAGTGTGCTTGAAATCTGGGTGGTGTTAAACATTGATGTGTGCTTCGAATTTGAAGCGCATTTCAAGATTAGTGCATATTTCAAAAATAAAGCGCGTTTAGAAATTAAAGCGTGTTCAAACATTAAAGCTAGTTTAATATTGGAGTGTGTTTCAATATTGGAGCGTCTTTCAAAAGTGAAGCGTGTTCGACATTGGAGCGTGTTTCAAAATAAGTGCGCGCCGCGGCCACCGTTACCATTACCTCCCCCTCTTGACCCCCCCCCGGGGGTAACATGCGTCACTCCTAATGAAGAAAAAAATCGCATGGCCGTCGGAGAAAGCGGAACGTCTCAATCCGCCGACCACCGCTTGCCGGGGGTGAAAAGGCGTGCGAGCTGTTTGTCTGTACCCTTCTATAATTACACAATGTGAATACTACTTTCCTCTCTCCCCTGGTGGCGTCCGGAGAATGTCCGGCCCCCTCCGCGTACTGGTTTTTTACACAAGAGATTCCCGGGAGTTCTGTTTTCGCTAGGTTTTTGTTCAACATGCTGCTCTCGCTGAAGCACTGGCTTCATTTTCGGGCTACCGCTCGTTCCGAATCGTGCTCTCGCTGCAACGCTGGCCTCATTTCCGCGCTTCCGCTCGTTCCGAATCGTGCTCTCGCTGCAGCGCTGGCGTCATTATTTCGAGTGCCATGCCCAGGCATGGTTTTCGGTCCTTCCAAATTGGCTCCAAAATCTAGAAAATGGCCTCCGAAGAAACCATCGGAAGTGATTCCACTTTCGATATCGGTTCGTTGATTTTTTGGGCCGCAGAAGCCCCCTTCACCTTCGTGCGTCAACACGCCATGCTATGTCATGCTATGCGTGGATATTCGACATCGTGCTATGCCATGCTACGACATCCGATTGTGCGAATCGAGGGGAGATTTACGCCATGGTAAGGAATGGGAGGGAGGGGTAGGACGTCAGATATGACGCGAGCGCACCTAGCTTGCCCTCTCCCCATCCCCATTAGCCTCCCAGAATCCACCGCCGCTCCACCGCCATTTCGCCATTTGACAGTGGGCGCCACTGTCAACGGGGCGGGAGGGGAAGCTCGCCCCCGACTTTCGCAGTGCGGCCCACTGTCAACGGGGCCCACGGGCGCGCAGGCGCAATGGCCGCCAAGGACAGATGCAAAGCCAATTGAGAGTGGGGCCCACTGTCACACCCCTGGCCAACAGCGTCGGGGACCACCACTCCCAATTTGACAGCAGGGCGCACTGTCACACTGAAGATTTTGGGGGGTCGCAGGACGCTCCGCGTGGGCCTCTTTGACAGTGGTCCCCGCTGTCAAACTGAGCAAACGCGGGGGGGGGGCGCGCGAGGCCGCAAATGCATTTTATATATGTATAACGAATATTTTAAATACATACACACATACATACATACGTATCTGCGTATATGTCTATATATATATACATATGAATACATATACATATATTTGTATATTTGCGTCTATGAATCTATGTATGTGTGTACTGTGTATGCGATAGCCCGAGAGGGTCCACACAGAGCGCCAAGACAGTCCCAGAGATCGTCGAGACGGCCCAGGATAGCCCCAACGTCGGTCCAAGGACGCTCCGAGACGGGCCACGAGGCCCCCAAGACGGCCCAACAGTGCTTTCCAGATGACCGCCGAGAGAGGCCTAATAAGCAACACTTGATCCCTTCCCTGGGGAAAACGTGCACGGTTAGCATACTCGCCTTTTTCGTTTTGATAGCGTCCAAGACGGCCAAAAGGGCCTCAAAGACCGTCCCAAGACGAACAATGAGGCCCCAAGAGAGCACGAAGATGGCTCAAGATGGCCTGACGACGAACCTAAGGGCCCCCAAGACGGCCATCGAGAGGCCCTCTGGGCCCCAAGAGGGGCCCCAAAGGCGAATACGAACTGACAATTCGAGCTTTTCCCCCCAAGACGACCCCACGCCCCCTCGAGGCCCCCGAGGCCCCCCTAAGAGGCGCAAACAGGCTTCCAAGATGCACCCCCGAGGCTCCCAAGAGACCCCCGAGAAGCTCCAAAAAGTCCCTCAGGTGCCACAGTGGGAACTCCTCATGTGCATCCACGCGCCTCATAACCCACTTCATTCCTTCCACGAACGCTGCAAACTCTCACTGTATCTCCACACTCTGTGAACGCCCCACAGTGGCCGTCACGGGACCCCGATAACGCCTTGAAGCCGTTCTCATAACGATTACCTCCCACAACCTTACCTGAGCCTTGTTCACAGACTCCCACAGCATAGACGCGGAGACCGCCTACCCACATTTGCAAAGGTAAGACTGCGCGCGACGTGCTTGGCTCCAGCCTTCCCCATTGATCTCTGCTCTCCCAGAGCTTCGAATCCTGTTCGAGAAAGGGGCGACGAACTTGACATCGTATCTCCCAAGCCAACAGAACTTTCCGACATGACCTGCCGGTTCCGAAGGTCCAAACAATGCCGTCAAGGCCCCTAAGAGAACCGAGATACGACACAATGTATTCAGGCCACAATGCTCCGAATGACTTCCGCGATCGTGCATCACTCTTTGTCTTTTCTGGGGGTCGGCGGGGTGGCATTGGCCCCTTGAATAACTCGTTGTAGGTGACCTTGTTAGCCTGCAAGCCTTGCGCAGACATCTCCGCCATGAGGGCTCGAGCCTCTTCCGTGCGGCCGCTGGTCAAGTGAGCCTTCAACATAGTGTTGTAACCGACCACGTCCATAAACTTGAGCCGCTTCATCTCTTCGAAGTGGCTGAGCGCCGTGTCCAAGTCACCGCACTGCACGCACGCGTCGAGGTAGCAGTTGTAGATCAGCGGGGTGAGGGCCAAGCCAGACGTCTGAAGCCTCTGGAACACGGCGCTGGCGGCCGCCAAGTCGCGGTCTCTGCCGTGCCCTTTGATGAGCGCAGCGGCGCGCTGCAGCTCGCTGCCGCCGCCCCCCGCCCCGCCGCCGCGAGCTGGCGGCGGCGCCGACTCTGCGTGCTCCATGAGGCGCTTGGCGAGCGGCTCGCGCCCGTCCTGCGCAGCGGCCTTGGAGAGGGCCCTGCAGGTCCCGGCGTCGGGCCACAGAGACCTGGGCAGCATCGCCTGGTGGGCCTACCTTTCCACTGCCACCGCTGTGGATCAGGGGCGGCTGACCTGTAGCAGTGCTCTGCTGTGTTAAGTACGAGGCACCGACTGCGCTCAGCAAGCCACTGCCACAGGCCTGCCCATGGTCAAGTTGTAGTGGTGGTGGGGAAGACCAAGCCCGCTATCGGCTGCGCGTGATGATCGACTCTTGACCCAAAATGTGGCTTCCTATGTTGGACAGCATTTCCCAATCGATGCTTGCACTTGAATGTTCTTAGTTGTGTTCGAAATTAACTGATCCCTGGTGGCGGTCAGGCCGGCTCGTCACCGCCTGTCGCCGCTGGGCCCTGGGTGGCGGTCTGGCCGGCTCGTCTCTGCCCGTCGCCGCGGTTGCTTTGCTTTGCTTTGCATCGCTTTGCATTGCGTTGCTTTGTGTTGCTTTGTATTGCTCCGCTTCGCATTGCTTTGCGCCACATCGATTGCACCACATTGATTGCACCTGCGTCGGGTCCACGCTGGCCAACATTGATAACTCTCTGTCGCTATTTTGTTAATGATGAGGCACGTCTACATTGCAGAGCGGAGGGGAAGGGAGGGGCATGCCATTCCTTGACAAACACCTTGCCCCGATCTGTGGTCACCGCGATCGCCGCGGCGACCTCCCCAACCGACCCAAAGGCTTGGATATCACGCAACGAGTGATGGCAATGAAAAAGAGGCCCGCGATCGCCGTCTCGTAGAAGTCGCACGCCGCCTCGCCGCACTGGCACGCCACCAGAGCGCCGCAGACGGCCGAGAGGACGCGCGCGCCAGGGGCCCCGGCGCAGGCCTCGCGGTGCAGGTGCGCCACGCGCGTCGCGAGCTCGCCCTCCCTCGTCGCCTTGCAGGCGTCGAGCAGCTTCATGGCCAGCGGCTCGCCGACCGGGGTGCCGACGCTCCCGCGCGCGGCCTCAGCCTCGAGGTCCTCCACGAGCGCGCGCAGCCCCGAGGAGTCCGCGGAGTTGCCCAGGGCGGCCGCCAGCGCCTGGAAGGCCGTCTGGCCCTTCTGCACCTGCAGGTCGGCGGCCGCGGCGAAGAGCTCCTCTCGGGTCTTTCTGGCAGGTGTGAGGGGAGGGCGCATGCGGAGGCGGCCACTGGGGCCTTCGGTGGAGCTCCCCATGTGGCCACGGAACGTGTGAGGTGTGTGTGTGTGTGTGTGTGTGTGTGTGTGTGTGTGTGTGTGTGTGTGTGTGTGTGTGTGTGTGTGTGTGTGTGTGTGCCGAAGTGGGCATGCGTTGGGCGGGGAGGACGCATGCGGACGCGGCCGCTGGGCCCAAGAGGTCCTCACACCCCTCCGCGCCTCTCGAGCTCCTCTTGGGCCCAAGGTGCCCCCAGCTTGCCTGCCCACTCGGGAGTCCCTGGGGCCCTCGGGGCCTCGTCCCATGGTGCTCGGGGGGCCGCGGGGCTTCCTTGGAACGTCTGGGGACGCCTCGGGCCAGGGACACTTCTGGAGAGGCCTCCCAGATGGGGTCAGCGTAGGTGGGGTCGGAGGATCGCGAGGCATCGTCGATGCATCACCGATGCATCGGCGATGTGTCCCAGCGACGTGGGCGTCGAATCAGTGACGTCGGCGTGGAGACAATCGGGCTCCACATCGAGCCGCATCGCCGATGCATCGGCGATGCGGCGCGGTCCTCCGACCCCATCCACGATTCGGGCAGCATCCGATCCTTGACCGTGGCGGGCGAGCGCTGGCACCTCTCGGAGGTCACGAGGTCGTCGAAGTGGCGGGTGTCCATGCGGGCGCCGAGGCGCTGGAGCTCCTGCGTCGCGGTCTGCACGCGCCCCTCGCGCGCCGCCAGCGCCAGCAGCGAGGCCACCGACCCGGGCGCCAGCGGGGGGCGCGCGCCCCCCGCTGGCTCTGGGATCTGGCGCAGCTGGCCGAGGGCCTCGTCGAGCCGCTCGCGGTACACGGCGGCGGTGGCGAGGACGCCGCGGATCTTGGGCGTCATGGCCTCGGGCGTCAGCGTGGCGGCCGCCTCGGTGGCGCCCATGTAATCGCGGCGGCGCAAGAGTGCGCCCATCAGGCCCGCGTAGATGCCGGAGTCGACGCGCTGGCCTGTGCGAGCATGACAGACACCGGTGCCACTACTCCCTGCACCTCCCCCGTGGTGCGTCCTGACAACTCGGGGGCGCGCAAACATGGATTAGCGATCCCTGGACTTGGCGCGCGGTCGACTAATCCATGGATCGGGGGAAATGCCCTCCCCAAAATGCGGCCGGTGCCGCCTCGTTCGGCGGCGGGAATCCGCGATTTCCCATGGAAACGGGACCCGTCGCTAATCCACGCCCCCTTGATCCATGTTTGCGATCGCCTGAACAACGATTCCGAGGCGACTCCAGCAGCGGCGACGAGGCCTCCCCCTCTAGGAGGCGAGACCGCGGTTTGAGGATGGCTGGGGGGTCTGCTCTGGATGGGCACCAGCAAGATCGGCCAGGAGAAATGGGGGCAAATTCGGCATTCAATGTTATGCTGCTCCCATCGTGCTGAAGGACTACATTCCAGAAGTAATTTCGCGCACCCTGAAAGTGTCGAAACAGTGTCGAAACAGTGTCGAACGAGTGTCCCAGGGCCCGACACGTGAAAACCCACGAGTTTTGGTACTTGATTGGTGCTCGAAATTATTTCTGGCGATCCAAACTGAAAAAGGTTTGAACATAAACCCAATGCTCATCTGGAGGAGGCGGCCCAGAGGAGACAGGGAACGACACCTGTGTACCTGCTACGGTGCGCCCCTGTGCGCTTGAACGCACAGTGGTGCCTCTCCTCATCCTTGGTGGCTGGAATCAATAATGCCCCACCTCAGCCCCCCAACCGCTTCCAAAATATCGGTACGGACTGGTGTTTTTTCTCCTCTGGTGGCCACGCTGCTTGGAGAAGCGCGTCGGAATGCACCGACTTCCACCGATGTGTGTTGTCAATCCGCGGCCCCAGAAACTTGCCGTCGCTCGGACGTCCATTTCCCGTGAATTGTCCTGTTTCGTGCGTTTTTTTTGTTGTTCGATGGTCAAGGATGCTCCCCGATGGTCCTCGCCGAATGAAAACTGTACACGTCCGAACGATGCCAAGAGAAAGGTCCCGGACTCCTTCCCCGGGGAAAATTTTTCGCCCCGGATTCAACTTCGATGGTCTCAGGGCCCGCCAGCGGGCCCGGGCGGCCGAAAGTGTAGGAAAACCGGGGGGATTGAGAAGCACATCTCTTCGGATATCTGGGCGTGGCAGGGAGCTTTCTTCCTCTGGTGGCCGCGCTGCTCGAGGAGCTTGATGGTCGCGCCCAGCAGCTCCGCGGCGTCGTCGCGAAGCAGCGCGGCGGGCAGCGCCGCGACGCCGCTCAGCAGGCCAGGGCATGAGTCGAGGGCCGACCTCAGCTCCGACACGATCTCGGCCGTGGACTTGCCCAACTTGCGCATGGAATCGACCACCTATGATTGTGATGATGATGATGAGGGGGAGGGGGAGGAGGAGGATGATGCTGATGTGATGATTATGCTGCTGTTGATGATGATGCTGATGATGCTGATCATGGTGGTTGTGATGGTGATAGTGATGGTGGTGATGATGATGGTGGTGTGGAGGTGATGATGATGATGATGGTGATGGTGATGATGATGATGATGATGATGATGAAGATGAGGATAATGATGCAGATGATGATGCTGGTGGTGTGATGATCATGATGAAGATTACGATTGGTAGTAATGGAGACGGTGATGACGGACCATGCTGCTGACGACGATGACGGCAACTGCAACTGTACATCGACACCAAATGGTGCCAGGCCAATCCTGGGCCCAAAACATGATCAGATCGGCGCGCGTGACCCTCCCGAGTCCGGCTATCGTAGCCCCCGAACCTGGGTCCAGGGTGGGCCTTGCCAAGATCGGTAGTAGGAGCAGGAGTAGGAGTAGGAGTAGGAGTCAAGCTAGCCAGCTCGAGCGAGTCAAGCATGGCATGCCCAGTCCCACCCGCCCTCCCACAACATAAGAAGCAAAGCTGGCACAACTGGGGGCCGAAGTCACACCGGCCAGCCGGTTTGGTACAGCTGATGCGGCCGCGATGGCGGTTGCCGACGGGAACTGGCGAGCGCGTGTTGAATGCCGCGCACGCATTGCCAGACGAGTCGAGAATGGCCCGGTACACCGCAGGAAGCCAGAGGTGGCCGGAGGAAGCCCGACGGTCTGACAGGACACCCCAAAGCATTTTTGTGAAAAAGCATTGGGTTTTTGATGTTTTTATGTTGAAATGCTTGCAAACACACGGTGTTCGGTAGGATTCTGACATGAACGCGCGAGTGTGCTCTTTGTGGTATTTTTTGCACAGGATTCGCGGCCTGGGTGCATGACAGAGCATCGCGAGTGCACCGCGCGATGACGTGAAATCGCTGGATTTGACCGAATTCTTAAGATTCCTATGGTTTTCCTATGATTTCAGCAAGAGAGCCCGGGCGGGAAATTTGTACAATTTTTGTGAAAAAGCATTGGGTTTTTGATGTTTTTATGTTGAAATGCTTGCAAACACACGGTGTTCGGTAGGATTCTGACATGAACGCGCGCGTGTGCTCTTTGTGGTATTTTTTGCAATGGATTATCGCCGTGGACGACAGGACGTCCATGTCGAGAGGAAAAAATAAGAAAAATGTTGATTTTGTATTGTTTTTTACAGGTTAGGATGGGACCACCCGGATGCGGCCCCTAATGGCCGGCCTGAGGGGGGAGTAGGAGTATATTCTAATAAGGAATAAGGATAGGAGGAGGAGGAGGAGGAGGAGGAGGAGGAGGAGGAGGAGGGGGAGGGGGACGAGGAGGAGGAGGAGGAAAAGAAGGAGGAGGAGGGGGAGGAGGAGGTGGAGGAGGAGAAGTAGGAGTAGGAGTAGAAATAGGTCGGTGTAAAGTTTGGCCTGCCCGAACCTGCACCATGTCGAGCTGCGGCGACCCCTCCGGCGAGCTCGTCGCCTGCTGCCACTTGCGCAGCACGTCGTGGTGGTCCGCGTTGCTCATGTGGTCCTTCCTGTCGCGCTCGGTGCGCCTGCTGGGGATGTCCTCCGAGCCCACCTTGTGAGTATCGTTTAACCGATCCCCATCCCCAGCGGCGTGGCCTGGGCTCCACTGGCCGATCTACCCCCCTCGATGGGGATATAGGTCGTTCCTTTCGGGTTTCGAGGGGTGTATCCTCAACTGGGGTGGTAATTCGGTTGGGGGTCTCGAAGGGGATGGGGATGGGGATGAGGGTCGGTTAAACGATACCGACCTTAGCCTTCAGGTCCGACGACTTCGAGGCCTTCGGCTGGCCCCCAACGCACAACACGTACACAAGCGCCGCGACGCCGAACATTGCGAGCTCCATCCACATGACAGATGCGGTCTCGAGTACCGCAGTGACGAGGATCGTTGACGCTTGAACGAACGCCATCGGTTCACGAATCGGATTGCCTTCCGTTAACACGTAAGCTGCGTGGAGCTACAATCAGCAGGGATGCTGTGAAGCAGAACTCTCGAATAGATCTTGGCTGCGGACGGAATGGGGACGAGGGGGAGGACCACGAGGACGAACAGTGACAAGAGAAGGAGGAGGAGGGAGGCGGTGCACGTGTAAGTATGAGATGGGGAATCGCGCGAGGAGAGCACGATGAAGTTCATCACGGGAGCAAGAGAGGAAGCACGAATAGAGGAGAGGATGACCAAGATGAGCAAAGAATCAATCACCACGAATTGTATGAAGACACGCATGGACTTCATGGGTCGGGGGTAGGCCCGGGTATATAGTGATATGGGTCTGGGCGTACGTCAGGATTGGGGTAGGCTTATGGGCATCGGTGAGGGTACGAGGAATCCCACCGGCCTTCTAGGCGGAGGGGGTTCAAGGTGCTTCTTAGTCCGAACTCTGTTATTGCTTTTTTGGGGGGGGGGCGGGGAGGGGGTAATCACTGCTCCTTCTTAATAAGAACCTCCCTGGCCCACTCGACTGTCGGTCGGCCAGGAAATATGCGGGCAACCCCCCACCATCACTGCTGAACCAACAGTGCACGATGCGCTTCGCGGCAGCATCTTGGACCATTCGCAAGGGCCAGCACTGCCCCAAGGGCGCCTAAAACCGCCCAAAGAGCGCCCCACTGGGGCCATAACGAAAGACCCTTCGGGCTCAAGAGGGGCAAGGATCATCGGCGCCGCCCCTTCGCTCCCAAAGCCAACACTACTGCCCGACCGCTGCCAGCGATTGTGAGCTCTTCTTTCTTTTGCTTCCGGACTCGGATGGGCCTGCCGTGCTCTCGCCACGACTGGGCGCCGCTTTCGGGTCGGGCGAAAGGGGGGGATAGCAAAGGGGGGGTTTGAGAATCAGCTCACGTAGCTGATTTTCCCGGCGCCTCCCGGCGCCGGAGGCGGCTATGTATCGAGGAATGGGCCCCTCGGCGAGGCCGAACCCAGCTGCATGCAGCAGACTTCGTAACCCCCCCTTTCCCAATCCCCCCCTTTCGTCCGGCCCGACTCTTGAGCGCCTCGTGGGCGCCCCGCGCGTGGGCCTGCCGAGGGCCCGCCTGCTGGGCGCCCCGTGGGCACGCTGGGCCCGCGGAAGCTTCGCCCGCGCGGCGGCCGTGGGCGCGTTGCGGGCGCCCCGTGCGGCTGGCCTTCTCTTCGGCGGCCGCCGGCGGCCTCGTGGGCGCCCCGCGGGCGCCTCGAGGCGGCCGGCCTCGAGGCGTCCTCGAGGCCGCCGGCGGCCTCGTGGGCGGCCTCGCGGGTCCGCTGAGGCTTCGGCGGCCCGGCCTCGTGGACGCCTCGCGGGCGCCTCGGGCTGCTTGGCACACACGTCTTGCATCACATGAACTACGCCGCGTGTCGGAGACGGCGCAGACGGTTGACGCCAAACGGACGAGTAGTGAACTCAATTCAACAGGTCGGTGGTGAAAACAGAAAGGGGGGCAAGGTCGCACACGGCGTACCCCACATAACTTACACCAGAAAATTCCCACCACATCACGTACACATCCACGGTGCAATGACTCGCTGTTCCGGGTCTTTGCTGGATGGGGTAGCTTTGTGAAGGACCGCAAAAATCACTCCGGTGGCGAAGAGAGCGCAGGGCGTTCGGCGGTGGCTCGAGGGGGAGGGGCCGAGAGGAGATGTTGCGGATTCGTCGTCGACTTTCGACTTCGGATTTTTGTTCCTCGATCTCGGGCTCCACGGCCGTTTTGGCCCCTCCTGGGACCTGCTTGGGGGCATCCTGAGCGCTCTTGTGAAGCCTCGGGGCTGGCGGTGCCTCCCTGGAGGGACGGGAGGGGCACGAAACTGCGTAAATATAGTATGGGGTGCGAGTGCCGCGCTCGCTGTGGCGGGGCCTTCTTGGAGGAATGGGAGGGTCACGACACCTTGCAAATAGTATGGTGTGCGAATACCCTGCTAGCTGTGGCGGGGATGCCCTGGAGGAATGGGAGAGGCACGACATCCTCCCCGTCGCTCGGACGTCCATTCCCTGTGTTTTTTTCTGTTTCGTGTGCGTTTTTTTCGCAGGATGATCCAGGATGCTTCTTAATAACCCCCGCCGAGAAAAAAGTGCACACGTCCTAGCGATACCAAGCATCTTGAAAATCGTATGGTGTGCAAATACCCTGCTCGCTCTGGCGGGGCCTCCCTGCAGGGGTGGGAGGGGCACGGCACCGTGTAAAACAGCCACCTTGTCTGCAAGGAGTGGGTGAGTTAGAATGCTCGTCTGTTGTCTGGGAATTTTCGTAGAGTTTGCAGGGGCCCCCTCGCGATGGAGACCGATCGCAACCACTTCGGACCGATCGTCGACCACTTCGGACTGGTCGCAACCAGTTGCGATCGCTCCGAAATGGTTGCGATGTTTTTGGGTCGCTGCAGTAAGGTCTCGAGTAAGAGAGAGAGAGAGAGATATCATGAGAGCGCTTCTGGGTGCACTGACTCCCTTAAACCGCCCAATGCGAATCTGAAACAGCCGTTGCGATCGGTCCGATCACCGACGGCCGATCATGATCTCAGCTAAACGCATGTACTTGAGCTCGAACGTGGCCAAGGTCCGTGTGAGATTCCGATGTGTTTCGTTACGATTGCTATGCGACTCGTATACGGTTCCCATGTGATTCGTATACGATTCCGATGTGCTTCGTCTGAGGAATTCGCCAGAATCCTAAGAGGGCCGAATCGAGCGCCCAATCGAGCTCCGAATAGTGCCCGAAAAAGCCTCCAATGAAGTTCCGAAAAGAAGGCGCAGCTAGAGATCCTAATAGAGCGCGCAGTGGAGCGGCCAATAGAGCTCAGAATAAGCTTTCCCAAAAATCTCTCAGACGCCTCTGGGAAGCCTCTCAGAAGCCTCGCTGAGGCATCAGAGAAGCATCTCAAAGGCCTCGCTGACAATTCGCAGAGGCCTCGGCCTCTCAGAGGCCTCAGAGAAGCCTCTCAGAGAAGCCTCTGAGAGGTCCCAGAGAAACCTCCCAGAAAAAGCGTCTCAGAGAAGCCTCTCAGAGGCCTCAGAGAAGCCTCTGAAAGGCCTCAGAGAAGCCTCTGAAAAAGGCCTCGCTGAAGCTTCTCAGAGGCCTCGCTGAAAAGTTCTGCAGAAGCTCTGCAGAAACCTTCTCAGGTGCTCTTCAGAAGCTCTGCAGAAGCTCTGCGTAACCCTGCAGCAACTCTGCAGCAACTCTGCAGAGACTCTGCAAAACTCCTGTATAGGAATCCTTCAGTCCGTTTCCAGTGGTTGTAATCTAACCGACATAGTTTCTGACCAGTCTGGAGTGGTTGTAATTGGTCCGGGCCCCCTCCTCCCCGCGCGCGCCCCTCGAATACCGCCCCTTTTGAACTTGTTGTCTGGTGGTCTTTTTGGCCTCCAGACGGCCAAGAGACGACCGAAAATAGCTCAAGATTGCCCAAGGCAGCCCAAGAGCCTCTCAAGAGAGCCTCAAGACGGCTCAACATAGCCCAAGAAGGCCGCCCAGACGGCCTAAGGCCCCCAAGACGACTCGAGAGAGCTCAAAATGCATTCCTGGAGAGTCCGAAGGGGGCCAAGATTCTCATCCGGTGTTTGAAAGCATTGAAGGTTCTCGCCTGTTCGGGTCTCCGCCCACTCAACGGCCCAAGAAGCTTCCAAAAGGCCTCCAAGGCAACTCCAAGACAGCCGAAGTGGCCCCCCAGGAGGGCCCCCAGCCGGCCCAAGATGGCCCAAAGATCGCCCTGGGGGCTTCCGAAGATGGCCCGAAGACGGCCTTGAAGCACTCCAAGAAAGCAACACGAAAGCCCAAATATGCCTCTTGGGCTGTCTTGGGCGGCCGAGAACCAGAACGTGCCAGAACATCAAAATCAATGGTTTTGGCCTCGACGGGGTCTCGAGGAGGGCCTCTTGGAGACCCCTTGGGGCGTCATTCGGGGCCTCTCGATACGTCTTGGGGCCTTCTTGGGAGCCTCATGGCTTTCAGAACGGCGTTCGGGGCAGCCAAAGTGACGCCCAAGAAGTCTCCAGGAGGCCCTCCTGGAGAGCCTGGGGAGGCCAAAAGTGTTGCTCCTTACATGTTTGAAAGGTTTTGAGGTTCTCACCTGTTCGGGTTTACGACCGCCCAAGACGGTCCAAAAAGCCTCCAAGGGGGCCTGAAGTCGGCCCAAGAGGACCCAAAGATCGCCCAAGAGGCTCCCAACAAGATTCCCAAGACTGCTGTGACCCACTCCAAGAGGCCCCCAAGGCGGCCTCCACAGGCGTCCGACGGGCCAACAGTCCCCTAAGACTGCCCAAGAAACTTCAAGAGGCCCCCAAGAGGCCCCAAGAGGCCCCACAGAAGCCCCCAGGCTCCAGGAGGCCCGTAAGAAGCCCCCAAAGGCCCCAAGAAGCCTGATCCTTCTGATCCTCATAATTCTGCCCCTCCTCCTCCTCCTGATCCTTCTCCTTGTCCTTCCTACAGTGCGGACGAAGACGAGGTTGGGATCACGACCCGCCCCAATGCAAACTACTCGTCGGAATTGCGCTGCTCCTGCAATCAACCTCTTTCCTGCTGCGCTGGCACACAGGCACGCAGGGCTGAACCTAAACGGTGTTTTTCGTTTACTTTTTGTTATCGTTTTCCCTCGATTTGTCTTCAATCCACCTCTACCGCAAAACGAAGTCGAAACGAAAACGGCCCACGAAATCGCCGAAACACCGTTTAGGTCCAACCCTGCAGGCACGGTGGCGGGGTTTGCCGCAGGCAGCTGGATAGTATGGTGTGCGAATGCCCTGCTCGCTCTGGCGGGGCCTCCCTGGAAGGACGACAGGCGCACGGAGCCTTGTTTATACCATTGTGTGCGAGTGTCCAGCTCGCTCTGGCGGGGCCTCCCTGGAGGGGTACGCAGGGCAGGACAGCGTGAACATAAAATAATGCGCGAATGCCATGCTCGCTGTGGCGAGGCCTCCCTGACGGGGTGGGAAGGGCACGACACCTTGTAAACAAAATGGGTGCGAATGCCCTGCTCGCTCTGGCTGGGCCTCCCTGGAAGGCCCGGCGGGGCACGACACCGTGCAAATAGTACCGTGTGTGA